GCTACTGTACTTTGTACTGCCATTTAGTGAAATACAAAACAACCAAATGTATTTACGGTGTCTTCATTACTTGATTCTCTGAGTGCAGGACCTTGGGGTTGTTGACATTTGAAACCATACTTGATTTAGTCATTGTTCAACCTCATAATTATCACTCACTGAAGTTAGTGTTCCTTCTATTTGAGGTCATGTGAGGGAAATTTTGATACAAGGCTACTTTGTTGTTGAATGTGTTTTGAAATTGTTGTTTAATGGTCTATAGTTGCTGACATGTTTTGTGTTCCTTATCTCCTCAGGTTATCAGGTCTTAGCCCCTGCAGCCTACTATGACCAGACTGGAGCCCTGGTGATGGGCCCCGGAGCCCGGACTGGTCTAGGTGGGCCAGTACGTCTATTCCAGACCCCTCTCCTCATCAATCCTGCAGCAGCACAGGCTGGTCAGTAGTAGTCCAGTTGTCATTAGGATTTTCAATATATGGGTGCAGGGCTTTAGTAAATACGCTATGGATCAGTGATGGTCAAAACTCAATGGGAGCCATTCCAGGGCTCCAGTCTGACATTTCATACTGATGACAGTGGTGCCAACAAACCTCTCAAGTTGTAGCCCCAGTGCCAGATTTGTGGCACCACTTCCATTTTAGTGGTGCGGTGGGTAGAGCTGTCGTCTCCCAACCAGAAGGTTGAAGGTTCGACTCTCGGTGCCTGCAGTCGAAGTGTCCTTGTCCTTTATAGTGTACCGTAAAAGATAGAATATTATCATTTTAAATGGTCTTCTACTTGTATAGCACTTTTCTATACAGTGGTGTGAAAAAGTGTTTGCCCCCTTACTGATTTCTTATCTTTTTGCATGTTTGTCACACTGTAATGTTTCAGATCGTCAAACAAATTTATATATTAGTCAAAGATAACACAAGTAAACACATCATGCAGTTTTTAAATGAAGGTTTTTATTATTAAGGGAAAACAAAATCCAAAACTATAGAGCCCTGTGTGAACAAGTGTTTGCCCCCTAAACCTAATAACTGGTTGGGCCACCCTTAGCAGCAACAACTGCAATCAAGCGTTTTCGATAACTTGCCATGAGTCTTCCACAGCGCTGTGGAGGAATTTTGGCCCACTCATCTTGGCAGAATGGTTGTAAGTCAGCCACATTGGAGGGTTTTCGGGCATGAACCGCCTTTTTAAGGTCATGCCACAGCATCTCAATTGGATTCAGGTCATGACGTTGACTAGGCCACTCCAGTCTTCATTTTGTTTTTCTTCAGCCATTCAGAAGTGGACTTGCTGGTGTGCTTTGGATCATTGTCCTGCTGCAGAACCCAAGTTCGCTTCAGCTTGAGGTCACAAACGGATGGCCGGACATTCTCCTTCAGGATATTTTGGTACACAGCAGAATTCATGGTTCCACTTATCACAGCATGTCTTCCAGGGCCTGAAGCAGCAAAACAGCCCCAGACCATCCCACTACCACCACCATATTTTACTGTTGGTATGATGTTCTTTTTCTGAAATGCGGTGTTACTTTTACGCCACACATAATGGGACACACACCTTCCAAAAAGTTCAACTTTTGTCTCGTCTGTCCACAGAGTATTATCCCAAAAGTCTTGGGGATCATCAAGATGTTTTCTGGCAAAACTGAGACGAGCCTTTATGTTCTTTTTGCTCAGCAGTGGTTTTCGTCTTGGAACTCTGCCATGCAAACCATTTTTGCCCAGTCTCTTTCTTATGGTGGAGTCATGAACACTCAGCTTAACTGAGGCAAGTGAGGCCTGCAGTTCTTTGGATGTTGTTGTGGGGTCTTTTGTGACCTCTTGGATGAGTTGTCGCTGCGCTCTTGGGGTAATTTTGGTCGGCTGGCCACTCCTGGGAAGGTTCTCCACTGTTCCATGTTTTCGCCATTTGTGGATAATGGCTCTCACTGTGGTTCGCTGCAGTCCCCAAGCTTTAGAAATGGCTTTATAACCTTTTCCGGACTGATAGAGCTCCATTATTCTCTTTCTCATTTGTTTTTGAATTTCTTTGGATCTCGGCATGATGTCTAGCTTTTGAGGATCTTTTGGTCTACTTCACTTTGTCAGGCAGGTCCTATTTAAGTGATTTCTTGATTGCGAACAGGTGTGGCAAGAGAAATTGAACTCAGGTGCGATAAACCAGTGTTTTGACAGGGGGGCAAACACTTGTTCACACAGGGCTTTGTAGTTTTGGATTTTGTTTTCCCTTAATAATAAAAACCTTCATTTAAAAACTGCATGATGTGTTTACTTGTGTTATCTTTGACTAATATATAAATTTGTTTGACGATCTGAAACATTACAGTGTGACAAACATGCAAAAAGATAAGAAATCAGTAAGGGGGCAAACACTTTTTCACACCACTGTACATTGCAGCACACTCAAAGTGGTTTCACACCATTGGCCATTGACACATTCAAGCACCAGTGACATCATCGGGAGAAACGGAGGGTTCAGTGTCTTGCTCAAGGACATTTCGACATGTGGACTGGACAGGCCGGGAATCGAACCACTAATCTTCCAGTTATGAGACGACCTGCGCTACCGCCTGAGCCACAGCCGCCCCCAGATGTTCTTTTTTGTTTTATTTAATGATATTCTGCCACCTCAAATATTCAAGCTTTGGGGTTAGGTAAAAAATTTACCCAGATGCTGAACTGTTCTCTGTAATTGACAGCCACTTTGTTCAGTACAGCATTGAGGCCTGTCATTTTAACCCCCTCTTTTGTCTTGAGAACCATATCACTTTTGTTTCATGTGAATTTCTAGTGTCACTTCCACTTACTGGACATGGTTGTACCCAGAAAAGTCATGTCTTGAAATAAATAACGGACATGAAAACCTGTGCTTATGCTAAAAATAGGACTAACCTTTTAAACCTGAATGCCATTCGTCCCTCTTCTTACTTAATTGGTACCACTCTAGGTGATTTTGTCTTTTCACCCCCTACATTCCTCTCTTTCTCCATCAGCAGCTGCAGTCCCTGCATCTGGTTCTGGTAACAACATGTCTGGTCCTCCAGCCAATGGACTTTACCGCTCCATGCCTCAACCTCAGCCGCAGCAGCAGCAGGCTCCCCCGCCCAGCAGTGGCCTGCCCTCCAGCTCATTCTATGGCTCTGGATCAGTTCCTAACACATCTCAGAGCAGTTCCCTTTTCTCTCACACCTCTGCTGCACCACCACCAAGCTCCTCCCTGGGATTCAGCAGCACCGGTGGCTCTCTTGGTGTGGGCCTGGGTTCTGCTCTCGGAGGCTTTGGCTCATCTGGTCAGCGACTCAATCACAAGATACATGAAACTGTTTATGGATGTCTTGTTTTCTTACACTGAATCCTTTCTTTTCCCCCTTGCAGTATCCAGCTCTACCAGTAGCAGTGTATCTCGCAGGGACTCCTTGTTGGCGAGTTCTGACCTATACAAACGTGGTGGCAGCAGTTTAACCCCCATCGGCCAGCCCTTTTACAACAGCTTGGGTTACTCCTCTTCTCCCAGCCCCATTGGTCTCACACCAGGTCACTCCCCACTCACTCCTCCACCATCTCTGCCCTCATCTCATGGATCCTCTTCCAGCCTTCACCTAGGTGTTTATGAGAGTAGTTTACTGTTACATTTGATATTATAGCCATAACTGTATTTGGTCATAATTTTAATAACTGTATATTCCTAGGTGGCCTGACAAATGGAAGTGGACGTTACATATCTGCAGCACCTGGAGCTGAGGCAAAGTACCGGAGCACTGGCGGGGCGTCCAGTCTGTTCAATTCAAGCAGCCAGCTGTTTCCTCCATCTCGGCCCCGTTACAGTCGCTCTGATGTCATGCCATCTGGACGCAGCCGCTTACTGGAAGACTTTAGGAACAACCGCTTCCCAAACCTCCAACTCCGTGACCTTCCAGGCCACATGGTGGAGTTCTCTCAAGATCAGCATGGATCAAGGTGGTTGAGATGTGCTTTCTAGATTAAAAATGCTGCTTTATTCTGGCATTTTAACTGTAGATCTTAACATGTGGAGTTGTGTTGGAGTGCAAAATCAGACTAATTTCTTTTTTTTCCCCCATCTGTACTCTGTTCAAATCTTATCTGTCCAGATTTATCCAACAGAAGCTAGAAAGGGCCACTCCTGCGGAGAGGCAGATGGTTTTTGGAGAGATTCTGCAAGCAGCATACCAGCTGATGACTGACGTATTTGGGAACTATGTCATCCAAAAGTTCTTTGAGGTTGGGACTTTTATAGTTCATTCTCATGTCATTGCAGTTACTCCACAATATTAACTAGAACAGACTTTATTTATCTACTATTTTATGTAGCATGTGTGCAATAGAGTTTGTTTTGTGTTGTGCAGTTTGGAAGTGCAGACCAGAAGTTGGCTTTAGCAACACGTATCCGTGGGCACGTACTCCCTCTGGCTTTGCAGATGTATGGGTGCAGGGTGATACAGAAAGCCCTGGAGTCCATTTCCTCAGACCAGCAGGTAATTGTAAGTGAGATTTCACTTCTTTTTACCACAACTTTTTCTTGGGCTTCTTAAAAAATCCAATATATTACATTCTTCACTTTCAACAAAATGATATCAGTTACAGTTTTGTGCTCTTTCCCGTCATTCATCATTTTAGAGTGACATTGTTCGTGAGCTGGATGGTCATGTGTTGAAGTGTGTGAAGGACCAGAATGGGAACCATGTGGTGCAGAAGTGCATTGAGTGTGTCCAGCCTCAGGCCCTACAGTTCATCATAGATGCCTTCCAGGGACAGGTGGGTTTATTATTGTGAAAAATGGCTCAGTCATTCTCCATGTAATCTCCAAATTGGTTTGGTGGAGCTGTAAATTTAACTACTGCTCAAGCTTCTGATTTGGCAGTCGTGCTCTTACCTTCCTTTGCTGGCGCATTACTATTTTTTAACACATTACAACCACTTGATAAGTGGAATAGTGAGGAACTGTTGTCAGGAATGTGTATCGCAGACATGTGCGTATCAGGGACGCACAAGTACAAACAGTGCTCTATGATGCTATTAGTGCTCAAAATCTCTAGAGTCCATTTGAGATTCTTGTGTAGTTGTGCTGTCCACACACCCTTATGGCTGCAGAGTGATCCAAAGGATTTTGGAGCACTGCACACAGGAGCAAACTCTGCCCATCCTGGAAGAGCTGCATCAGCACTCTGAACAGCTGGGCCAGGTGAGCACATCTGTTGCCAGTCTGCCTCATTTCTCAGCCTACATTACTTGCAGATCTAAACTTTTATGTTTGCTAGATGTGACTGATCATTGTTGAGGTGTGTGTTTGTCTTGTGTAGGTGCATGTCTCCTTCATGTTTGAACATTACATAATTATAGCCTGTCATTGTTCCTGTGTAGTTGTGGTCTGCTAAATGTAAAGTGTAAGGATCAATGTAATAGTATTGTTAGCTGTCATTACATCTGACATTTGTGTGGTTATTTAAACATCCATCCTGCCCCCCATTTATTCCATCTAGAAATATCAAGGCGTATCATTGGAGATGACACCCAAAACATATTATACAGTGTCCCGCGATGCACTGTTCAAGGTCAGAGCAATTTGCCTCTCTCTCGCGGATGTCCCCATCCTCCCTTTCTTTTCTTTTGTACACAATCTGACTTAACATTTATATAGTTCTCCAATTCTCCACTTTGCCAGTCCTTCTCCTAACCCTCTGAGCTGTCTTTTTCCTCACCTTTTACCCTCCCTTGCTTTGAGGATGCACAAGGCACATGCCTTCTCTGTCTGGTGATCCCTCTATTGCCTACAGCATGTCCAGATCAATCTGTTTGTTTTTTTGTTTTACCTCATTGTCGTCTTAATTTCACTATAATTGTTTGATAGAGTTTCAAACTCTTCATATTTCTAAAGTGATCAAAAGTCATGCTGGTAACTTCCCCTTGAGCACTCGAATCAAATTGTTAAAACAGATTGACAGGAAATGGATTTGAAGGCAAATACTTCCAAATTAAAGGTGATCACATTACCTACCCAACAAATTATTACTTAAACAAGATCAATTCAAGAGTGGTGGTTTTTTTGTTTGTTTGTTTTTTGCTTGGCCAGGTGAGTTCTTGTCTCCATCTTGTCACACTAAAATAACACCCATAACTGTCTATCACCTATTTCTGAAGGGGCAAAGATGCTGCTGATTGTGTTGTCTGGTCTGATGAGATCTGCAGCACTCCAAACCAGCAGCATCTGTTTTGTCTGACCTTCCGCAGTGATGACGTAAGGGTATTCATAAGACTACAAAATGGGGGTGTCACTTATTCGTCTACCCATCATTGTAGAGCTGCATGATTTATTTCACACCAATTAAGACCAATGGTGAAAAGTAGTGCATGAGAATCAATCACAGTAAAATGTGTCGCACTGATTCTTTGTGATTAAGTACTTAAGTGGCTGTTTGCTTTGAGCTTACATCTCCACTTTTTTTTCCTGCAGGATCAGTATGGTAACTACGTCATTCAGCATGTTTTGGAGCACGGCAGGCCAGAAGATAAGAGTAAGATAGTGGCAGAGGTTCGTGGAAAGGTTCTTGTCCTGAGCCAGCACAAATTTGCAAGGTAAGCCATGTTTTTGTGCACTGCGAGAGATGAGGATTGAAGGTGACTTTTTCACTGTCTGATCTCAGAAACATTTAATATATCAGTATATGCATTGACCTTTCCCCAAGGAACATGTTAAACTACCAGGGTGTCACCTTACCTTACTTGTCAGGCTTTGTGTTTTCACTGTCCACTGATGTTACTATGCACATGTCAGATTTCTAAATTAGCTGATGGAAAAATTCAGTTACTACAGTAGAGAAAGAGGAAATTGTTTGGTCAGGTCCCTCATGAAACAACTAGCTGTAAGCTGGACTTCTTCTTTCTTACCATTAATATAACATGCTCCTGCCCTCACTGACAAGCATGTTGAGCTGTCTACACTGACTATAGAGGCCTGAAACCACATTGCAGACTAGCCGTGGTGGCTGACTGGTCACCACTATGGCTTCATCAACTCAATGTTTAATTAGTATGTGTGTGTGTGTGTGTGTGTGTGTGTGTGTGTGTGTGTGTGTGTGTGTGTGTGTGTGTGTGTGTGTGTGTGTGTGTGTGTGTGTGTGTGTGTGTGTGTGTGTGTCACAGAGTATTTCTCTCCTTGTTTTTCCTCAGTAATGTTGTCGAGAAGTGTGTGATCCATTCTTCACGTGCTGAGAGAGCTCTGTTAATAGATGAAGTGTGCTGTCAAAAAGATGGGCCTCATAGCGCCCTGTACACCATGATGAAGGACCAGTATGCCAATTATGTTGTCCAAAGAATGATCGACATGGCAGAACCCGCTCAGCGCAAAATCATCATGCACAAGGTGGGTCAGCTACTAAATGTGTTCATGGAGAGATGGGGCTCATGTGCTTACTAAAGGGTTCTGGTCCAGCAAATCAGTTGAAACCTTTTCCTAGTGAAGTCAATAGTATTTGTACTAAATGAAAATGTTGTATGAGGTAATTGTTAAAGGCCCTGCTCACTCAGTCTAATAAAAGATGCAGCTTGGGTGTCACCCAAACAGGTGCAACAAAGCTTTGCGTGTGGGTGTTTTTCCATGAGTGTGCATTCCCTACCATATCATCAGAAAATACTGACAACTCAGCAGGTGTTCAGATGTTTAAACACAGGCAGTTTTGTTTTTTACCAACACAAGAGGCTGTGCTAATGTTACTTTAAGTAGCCTTGACACTTGAAAGTCTGATCCAGATAGACCAGTTTAAGTGATTAGATTGGGGGTGTGACTCATCAAAATACTGCACTGTACTAACTTGTTTAAACAAGGTTGACATTGAACTTAACCTGGTCCTCGCTTCCTTCTCAGATCCGGCCTCACATTGCCACTTTGCGCAAATACACCTATGGGAAGCACATTTTGGCCAAGCTAGAAAAGTACTACATGAAGAGTGGATCTGAACTGGGTCCCATCGGTGGCCCCACGAATGGTCTCATGTAGTTGCATCCACATCCTTGGTCCCCTGAAGAAGAAGAAGAGGAGGAGTAGGAGCCCCAAACCCCCTGTTCTGTGAGAGAAGCTCCTTAGCCATAGTCTTTGACACCCTCTGACATCCCATTTTGGAGGAATTACCAAAAAAAAAAGACAAGTCAATTTCACCTAAGAATGCTGTGACAACTGACCCCTGCCACTCTGCCGCCCCTGGCGCAGGCCTCTAGT